AAGTATCAGATTGCTTGAATGGTTTTAATAAATTTGCGTGGAAAACAGGATGAATGTTTCTTCAATGAACTTCAACTCCCAGGATCCCCACACAGCTTAAAGCGGCCAAGGTTGAGAAACACTGCTTTAGAAAAATGGAGACTGGGACCTTTTTGTCTTGGGGAGAATAAACTTTGCCTGTAAGAGAATCCATTATGTGCAATCTCCAGATCAGGCTGGAAAAGCCATTTTCCAGCCAGGGGAAGGTAAAGTTGTGTGTGTGTGGGGGGGTGTGAGTTTGAAACTTATTGAGTCCAAAACGCTGCAGGTTTGGTCTCGACAAGGCGGGATAATTCCACGACTCTTGACTTTTTCCGCCTTCTCCAATCTCAGCCTTTTGACTCCTGCACAGAGCAAGGTCTTGAATTCATTTTAGCTGTCAATGGCTGCACCACGTTACGACTGATATATTCACCTAGAAACAACCATCCTGCCCCTCTTAAGAATATGCATCCATTGGACTGGCGTGTGGTTTCCTCCAAAGGTTTAAAAGGAAAACTGGACTAAAGAATAGAAAAAGAATGTCAGAGTTGTTAGCGGCTCTACTAGAGATTGGAATTTAAAGAAATATCAGCCTGCTGTAGACACGGGGGTCCTGTAGAGACCCCGGACTAAAGTCCCTTTAGGGCAGTGTTTCTCCAACTTGGCAACTTTAAGACTTCAACTCCCAGAATCTTGGCAGAAATTCCCAATCCCTTTGCTTATAGACTCTGTCTTTTTATAAAGGTGACCCTCCAGGTGTCTAGCAAGACGTGGGATGGAAGGATGGGATATAAATATATCTAATACAGAGCAATAAAGTCACAATCTTAGAAGATTTGATTGATTGATTCATTGATTGATTCATTTATTCAGTTTGGAGGGCACCCATTCCACAAGCCTGTGGGTAACTTGCAATGTTAAAAGCCAGAAAACAGTAAAACAATCAGGACAAAGTTTATCCACATCTGGAAGAAAAAGATGCTGAATTAGGGGCTCATTCCCACTTTACACCAGTAGGTTTTCAGCTACTTTTTCAGCATCACTGACGTGGAAGTTGTACAGATCTCTGGGGGCTGCAGTTCCATTGCTGCCCCCCCCCCAGTCTTCCTGTCTCTGTGTGTCCCTTTATTTCCTGGCATTTTAAGACTATATTCCATATGTGTGTAGTTAGATCAGTGTGTCTCAACCTTGCCAAGTTTAAGATGGGTGGACTTCAACTCCCAGAATTCCCCAGCCAGCACTGCTGGCTGGGGAATTCTGGGAGTTGAAGTCCACCCATCTTAAACTCGGCAAGGTTGAGACACACTGAATTAGATGGTGGTGTCTGTAGTGTGTGTGTGTGTAAAGTAAACAACATGATGAACAGCATCACAATGCCTTACTTTTGAATGTGGGTGCAACATCAACACCCCAAAACAAGCAGGGTGGTGCTCTCCAATCTTGCCCATACTACTGATCCCCAATCTGGAGCCTGCCAGATGTGTCTTAATCACTTATTTATTTTTATGGATTAGGCAGATCCCACCTTTCAAGGTGGCCCGCGTCGCACTTCTCATGTTGCAAGCTCGGCTGGGGTTTCTGAAGGTTGTAGGCCTGTCCCGTGGGCACCAGGTTGAAGAAGGGGGATTCTCCCATCCCAGGCATCTAAGCGTTTTCTGGCCTGTCCCCTAAAGGAAGAGAAACCATAGAAGAGTAAAGAGGAATTTTGAAATGCAGAAAATAGTTATGGTAACTTCCTCAGACATGCCCTCCAGGGGAATCTATACCCGTGC